CTTTGAAGAACCAAATAGCAAAAGGCTTGCAATCAAACAAGAGCGTGGAAAGGAGTGCAATGGGTTTGGAATGTCATGCATAACAACGCAGCTAGATCTCAATACCCATGATGGTGATGACGCCGTCCAAAATTGCAAAAAGCTCGACTTGAATGGCCTTAGCTGGAGCTAGGAATGTTCAGCCGTCTAAGAGAAAAGCTGATGTGTGAAGAAAACAGGTCATTACCTAAATTCCACGCTAATTGTTATTTTTGAAGTATATAATGTATCACAGCAATCGGTTGCATGAGAACTGCTAGAAACACTTTTACTCAACGCAGCAAATAAGTGATGTATGATAGAAGGATGTTTAAGAGAGTTATATTTAGTAGAACAAGCTGAAGTGACTGGTATGATCTTAACACTTAGTTGAAGTTCTGTGTCAATTACAAATCTAGATGCAGTTTTCCTCATTATGCAGCGGCAACAACAGATTTGGCAATGAGCTCATTTTCATTGTCTATTACACGATACAGCAATAAGCTAAATATTGCTTTTAAGATGCAACATAAAGCAAAATCACATCAAGTCTATGAATATATCTAATAAAGATACGAACATTGTTGCAATATCATAATCTAGCATAATTACTGCTTTGTATTCCTATTGAAATTAGGTCGTCGCCATTTTGACCACATAACAACACACAGAGAATCATAAAAACAGACGATTCCTCCAAAATGGCTAATATTGCTAATAATTAATACGAATATAGGTGACTAGACAGCATCAAAGCTGAAATATCAAAGCTGATAGGCTAATAATTCAACATTCTAATTCCCTAAAAACAACAATATTTCTAGCATGCGGGAAGTAAACATCCCCTGATAAATAGTTGGATATTGCATTTAAGATAACCATATAAAATGACATGACATGTAAGTTTTTAAACAAAAAGAACAATTAAGACCATGGAAGTAAAACCCCGTAAACGTAAAGTTACTTTCAGACTTTCAGTTAGCAATGCACGGGACACCAAAAAAAAACAAGTAAGACCATGGAAGTCTCCCGTCGCCAATAGTCGTCCGTCGCCAATAAGTATTGGCGACGGATGCATTTCCGTCACCAATATGTATTGGTGACGGATTTTGAGGCATTGGTGACGGATTTCCCCATCGCCAATGCCATGTTTTCTACTAGTGAGAAATGGTTACTAATAAGGATGTGTATGCTAGAACTTCCTTACGAAACCAAATAATAACTATATCCCCTACAAAAATAATTTATTCTGCAATGGTTAAGATATAAGGGAAGACTGATATGCTCTAAATGGTGAAAGCAATCTAAAAAACAAAACATCATACCAGAACTGACGGCCGCCATGATCCTTCATCTACAGGTAAAAAAACTGCAACACCATCCAAGGAAACGATATCTAGTAATATTCCAATCTGATGTTAAGTTTATAACTTATTACACGTGACATTGAATGCCACTTATTTGATGATGTTCATGACTATTGTAGAGCCAAGAAAAAAAGCATAACTATTTCTTGACTCTCCGAACTTTCTTATGACCCCAAACCTCCATTCTCCCCGCGGGACAACCGCAAGGAGCCCTACATATCAGAACAGTCCGTCCGTTGGGCGGCGCCATTTTCTTGAGCTCAGCTTCAAGTTCTTTATGATCCTCTCCTAATCCCAAGGGGCGAACCCCTAAACCCTCTTTCGACCCAGATGGCAAGCACTTGGCACACTCCTCGGACTCAAGCTGGATATCAAACTCAACCGCCCTTCTTAGCCCTTTGCAGCCAGGATTCCCGCATTTTCGACTTTTATGATCAAGAATCTCCCAAGCAGCGACGGCGGAAACAAAGACAAGAACCAACCCGGCTACATAAGCGATGGGCGCATTCAAAATTACTTCTCCAATGAGTTCCAGGGTGGGAGGAAGGATCTCGAGGAACTCTCGG